TGATGTAGAATTCATGCTTCTTGACCCAATCCTTTTTGGTGTGGCGTAGGTCAATGGCGTGGAGCTCCCTGAACCCTTGAGGTGGGGATGCTGGAATTGGTTGCTCCAATCGAAATTGCCTCAAAGATCGATCGGGCAGGTGCCATTCCACCATGTGGAAGCAGATTAAGGGCACCTTGCACAACCATGTCTCTTCATCCTCGGGATGTCTAAGACGATGCAACTCAACCACTTCATTTGGATATGGATCCCATACCGCCTACAATCATTATAGTTCATGGAATTAGTACAAATTATATCCACTCCACCTAAAAAATTGAAAATAATGAAATTTTACATTTTTACCTGGTTCCACCAAGGCTTATCAAATTCAGCACGATAAAACAGCAAAGAGTGTTCGGGCTGGTGGTCGTTTGTATTTGCTCCGATCCACCTAATTAAGCAAAAGTACGTATATAAGCAATTTTTATGGCATAGATGTTTACTTGTTAAGTATGATTGTATGGAAGCATCTAAATTGAACTAAAATTCCTTACTTGGCAATAATCTAAATTAGCTAAATACGATTTGGTTAGAATAAATCTAAATTTGCTAACTTTGAAGATATCTAAATTCACTAAAATACTATAATTGCAGACCTAAAATGTCACTAAATTTGCTTACTTGAAAGATATCTAAGTTCACTAAAATACTAAAAACTGTAGACTTAAAATGTCACTAAATTCGCTTACTTGGAATAGATCTAAATTCACTAAATTTCACTAAATTCGCTTACTTGGAATAGATCTAAATTCACTAAAATACTACTATTGCATATCTAAAATAAATTAAACTTAAATTAAACTTACTTGAAACCATATGGGGGATTTGCTACAAATCGTAGCTCATCATCTGGCAACCAGAATTCCCGAGGGTCTCGAGGTGCTAAAAACGGAAGATGCTCCCATGCCCAGAGTTGGAGTATGAACATCGCACCACCAGCTTGTTTCGCTCCCAACCTCGAGCAAGTACACAACTCTCGGTAGATCCCAGCCAAGACGGCCGACCCCCAACTTTTTTTCCCGATCTCGTCCCAGTCACCGAGGAGCATATTTAACCACATGCCTTGTATCCACCGGTTTGACTTGTCGGGGAACAGAAACCCACCAACCAAACCAATTAGGTAGACACGTGCATACCGCTCCACCTGATCTTCAGGAGTGTCCGGGCCTATATTAACCTCCATTTGGATGTGGTCAAAAAGCCACGGGACCGATACTTGCCCCACATTCAGTGGTGGATGCCCAATCCCGTCGACGGGCGTGGTGGTCGGCATGTTGAACTCCAAACGCTCTTGAATCAACGGCCCCCAACCATCTTCCGGTTTTTTCGAGTTGTCGATGATGGCATCTCCGGTGATCGGGAGCCCGGTGAGGATGGCAGCATCTTTGAGGGTGATCGTCATTTCACCCTCGGGAAAGTGGAAGGTATGCAGCTCGGGGCGCCATCGCTCTACCATTGCCGTCAGCAGATCGTTGTCAATATCAAGCCTCATAAAGTGCCTCAGCATGTGCAATCCCGTCCTCTCCATATAGGGCTGCAGTCGATCATGCCAATGGGGCAATCGACATGTCCCTCGATGACTGATGGGAATAAGTGATTCCTACAAAACAAAAAAAACAATATTGTCAGTCAATAGAAAGCAAAATAAAAACTTTAAAACTATTGAAATAATTTTAGTGTGTCTACCGGATTATTGTTCCAAATTGAACGGGAGCGATGTTGATCTTGCCCGGTTAAATACCTTCGATCCCTTGGGCCAGGATCGATATACAATCGAGGGTCGTATATCTCAGCACCCATCTATAAAAAAATATGAAATCAAATCAATTTAAATTTTAGCACCCATGTAAAAAAATCACAAAAGAATAAAATTAATTTACGTACTCTCAAAGCCTCTTCGTCCATTTTTTTCCGAAAAACTAGCGAGAGTATCGACAAAACAAAAACTCAAGTAATTCTTTCTGATGCGGAAGATCGGACTTAGCCGCAACCACAGAGCATACTTAGAACGAAACTAGAGTAAAGTAAAGGAGGGAGAAAGAAGTATAAAATTTTGGTGTGGTTTGGAATGAGGGGGGAGTGGTATTTATAGGGGAAAGGGGTGCTGGAAATGGATCCAGGAACCAATCACCGCATTGAATGAAGGCAGTGAAGTCACCGCGTTGAATGAAGGCGGTGAAGGCTCGGATCGCTGACGTGGCGCGGCGTGAGGCGTCGGATCGTGGAGAAAAACCACAATCCGCGCCTCACTGCATCGAATGGCAGCGGTGAAGGCGCTGGTGGGGCGGATCGGTGACGTGGAAAGCGGGGCTATCACCGCTTTAGTCATTAACGGTGAAGTGCCCGCGCGCGTCCACGTCAGTAATCCGCGCCACTTCACCGCTTTTCATATCAACGGTGAAGATCTCTTCATCGCGTCCCTCATCAACGGTCATTTAATCCCCGTTGTTCACCAAAGCGGGGATTGGTTCACTGTTTTTCTCCACAGCGATGATAGCATCACCATTTTTGTCCAAAACGGTGATAGCATCACTGTTTTGGTTAAAAGCGATGATGCTATCACCGTTTTGGTCAAAAACGGTGATTGCCATCACTGTCTTGGTCTACAACAGTGATGTTGAAACTGCTGTATTTTGGGAAATAAGTTTATAAGTACTGTATTTTGGGAATTTTTTTTAATAATTAGAGTATTTTGGGATTTTTTTCAACTATTTTGTGGTTATGGATCAGGTGAATCGAGACCGCGACTTCTTCCTCGTGTCTATATTCATTCACATGAGAGAGACATGAACTTCGAGATGACCATGAAACTCAAGACTTTTAGTATTATTTTGATATGCTGTCTGAAGAACCATGATTTGTTATTCTTGTGACATACATAACCTTTTACGTGAGGCGCATGTATCTCATTGAGTTATGTTCATGCTCACAAATGGCTTAGTGGTTTGAATTTAAAAGCCAATATCAATCCCTTATGCCTAACTAAAATAACATTAATTGTTATAATTGTTCTGGCATTATAATATTATTAATTACCTTGCCATCACACCATTTCTTGTGGGCAGTGTGACGGTGAAAAGACGGACAAATTGTGCATATATGTGGCACTCAATGTCTCTTGATTCTTAAATACTTGCAACAGGGGCGGAGGGAGAGGGTGAAAGGGTGGACCCACCCTGGCCCGGGATGAAAAATGGTTAATGAGGTGGAATAGTTAATCGGGTATAAAAAATAATATGTATTTAAATAAAAATGGTTCAAATATTTGATGTATGTTTTATAAGTTGTGCATTGGCATATTCAATGTTTACATAACAAGCTATGCACAAATGATGATGGTGCATATTATCCATCTAAAATTAAGGGGTCGTTTGGTTTTGGTGATTGTTTGGTGGGGATAGTTACAATGTATGCATTGTTTGTTTGTTTGTTTTGTTTTTTTTTTTTTTTTTGAATTTTCTGCACAAACAATACATGCATTGTTTGCTTAATCTCAAGTTTTTTGTGAGATTGTTTGGTGGAGATTGTTGGGTTATTTTTTCTTCCAACTATGTCCCTACCTTTTTCATGTGTTACTTTTTTATATTAAAAGCAAAGGGTAAAAGGGACATTTCATCCAAAAAGTAAATATAACTTGTCTAAATACTACAATAACTATCACAAACCAAACAATGTAAACTACAGTCTACAATACACCAATTTTCTTATATACATGCATATTAGTATACATGCATTGATGACAATCCATCAATTTAACTATCACCAAAACCAAACAATCCCTAAATATGTGCCTATATGATGTCTACAACAAATTTTCACCAAATCATAGCTAATTGGTAAAAATAATTTTATTTCAATCAGGGGGAGAGTGTAACGGGTGGTTCCTACGGATGAAAATGAGTAAATTAGTAGAATAGTTAATTGAGAATGAAATTTAGAGCAATTCTAACGGAGAATGTTTGACCGAGATATTATTTGTTCGAATATCTGTTACTGCATTTGTAAGCACATGATATTCGAATTTACAAAAACTTTAAGCACGTATAAGTTGGTTTTCCTTAGCAGGGAAGCGTTAGTAAATACTAAATAGCATAAGATTCATTGTTAGATCTTTCACAACAACTCGAGTTATTGATACTAAACGTTCATGATGAAGAACACCATTCAAAAGCAAATGTCCAACTAAATCATAAATAATTATTGTATACATATATAGAGATATTTTTTTATAGTTTCGACATATATTTAATTTACCAAGTTTTTGTAAATATAAAATTATGTTATGAATGATTTAACAAGCTAACAAAATTATTTTACTATATGCATTTTTTTCCTAAATGGACCCACCCTAGACAAAATCCTGACTACGCCCCCTGCGCCCTGCTTGCAACTTCCTTCTTCCATGAGCTTCACCTAACTCCATTTTGTATTTATAATAATAATAATAATAATAATAATAATAATAATAATAATGTCCGCAAAAGCAAATAAAATGGTCAAACGGAAATGACGATAAAAGATAGGGACGAATTAGGGTGCTAACTTCATAGGCGATAGCACCGTGCTAACTAGTCTAATCACCGTTCAATATATATTTTAAATATGATGGTTAGTAATAACGAGGGGCTTATTTGGTATTTCTCAAATTTAATTTTAAAATTTATCTCCGGTCATTTTAATTAAGATTTTCAACGCGAAATAATTACTCAGAAAATTATTACTACTTATATTAATAGTGATTTTTGTGGATTACAGTAGTGATTTTATATTTATTAGAAATTTTTCAGTAGTAGTAATTGATGAATATTATAAAGTAATGACAACATATTCATTTTTAGTATGAAAAGTAATCCGTAACAGTGTTTACAAATGATAAAAAGACTACTAACAATGAATCACAGTGAAAGCACCTTATCACTACTACACAAACACAATCACTACTTGAAGAACATTAATTACTAACAACGGCTTGTTCATTCCATCACTAGCACCAGTACAATCACTAGCTACTAAAAATGTATTACACAATTGTTCCTTCCATCACAACGGCTTCATTGTTGGATCAACCAGGCAAGATCTATCACAATATTCAGATCCCTCCCTCGTCGCCTACCTTCTCCATTGTTGTTTGACGCCCTCGCCGCCTGCCTCCTCCATGTCCATCGCCGCCGCTGAAGTAAAAAGAGAGTTGAGTCTTCATATCTGAACCTTCCTCTGCCGAATCCATCACCAGGAACACCCTCGACAACGCGTGACCAAGTCGATCGCTGCTAGGGGGAGAAAGAGAGTCTTCAGATCTAGCTAACACTTCCTCCGTCGACTCCATCGCCATTGCCACCTACCTTTTCAATCATTGTCGACACGCTCGCCGCTGCCTGCTTCCTCAGTCCATCACCGTTGATGACCTGTGACGATGCGCAACGTAACGTTGGCGGAGAAAAGGGAGAATAATGATTGGGGGACTTGGGAGGGTTTCTGAAAGGGAAAAGGGAGGCGACAGACAGTTTCATATAGAGGCGGCCAAAAATTTAATATTTACTAGGGTTCGAGGTGACATTTGACCTAATTATCCTTTATAAGATTTTAACCCTAGGATTAAAATTAGATCTGACGTTTAGAAGCTCAGTTAGTACGGTGCTAACCCCTTAAATCCCATTCCTAAAGATAGTGAAAATTTATAATGTCTTGTTCCTTTTCTTAAAATTCAATTATCCCAATAATAAAAGAACCTATATATACTAAGAGCGAAATTATCTAAAGTTCTTGGATGGCTTGTGATTGGCAAAAGCCTCAACTGAAGTGAAAGCATATGGATAATTTGAATATGTGAGGTTGTAAGTAAATTGAAAACTCTTATTATATTATATTATATTAAAATCTAAGTCTTGGAAACAAATATAGGCACAAAAATCAATGCATCATCTTAGGGTTTATATTTTATGATTTAGATAATTAGGACCTAGGTTCCACTCATTAAGGATTAGGGTATAATATCATGTCCAAAAATCCTGCTAATTCGAGATCTAAATAGCATTTTCATACTCAAGTTATGCGGTACCCCGGATTTCACCCGAGGTACCGTAGAAGGCACCATATATATATATATATTTTCCAGCGACGGCGGAAGAGACTTTCCGGCGACAACAGAGGAGACCTTCCGGTGACCAAAGACGACAGAGGAGGATTTTCCGGCGACTATGCTGGATTCGTGATGTTTTTCCACATATTTTGTAATGTTTTGTATGTTCAGTTTGTAATGTTTATATCAATTGGGTTTGTACAATTTGTCATTATAGTTTGTTATTTTTGTCTATTGGATTTGTACAGTTTATATGACTAATTTGTATATATTTTGATTTATAATATTTGTTAGCCTAGTTTGTATTCTTTATGTTATGATTTGTATACTTAGTATTTATTGGTTTGTAATACAATTTTACCGATTAGTATTGTAAGTAGTGTTTTTTGTACTGTTAGTACGCTTTGTAATGTTTGTCGGTTTATTCTGTAATGTTTGTAAACTTCATTATTTTGTAATGTTTGTCTGTTTCTTTTGTAATGTTTGTTAGGTTTGTTACTTAATTACTTTTTTCAACCATTTTTTTATTGTTTTTTATTTAGAAAAAACAACCTAGTTGACTTTTTCACATAACTCCTCTATATAGAGATGAAGTCTGCAAAGTCAACCAGAGTGTTTTTTCTATTTTGTATAGTTTGTCGGTCTAGTTTGTCATGTTTGCCAACCATGTTTGTAACGTTTGTGATTCGTGCCTAATTGTACACTTTTTATCCCCGTTTCTCTTGGACAATTGTGGCATTTGAGCTCCAAATGGGGTGGTTTTATGCTAGGTTTCTTGTGTTTCAGAGTCTAACAGGTGAAACCAACCTTGTGACATGATCCTAATTCGAGAATCCACCCAAACATGGACCAAAAATCAGAATTACGCAACGTCGAACTCTTTTGGGGTTTTCTTCTTTCTTGAATAACATGAAAATAAAGATACTTGCGGAATCGATCAAACAAATCCAAACTCGTGAGAAGGGCTAGAAGGTATATGAAACCTTCCAAACAATCTCGAACCCGGAAGAGGCCAACCGATATCGTCGATGCTCACCACAACTAGACGCGTTCTCTTGTCGATAAGAGACCACTCAAACCTCTCGAATCCTCAAAGGAGCGAATAAGCAAAACGTTCACTTGAACTTGTAAACACTTGTATTTGATTTCTGAAACTTGAATATTGTGTACAAAATTCGTAGCTCTTACATCCTCTATTTATAGAGGTCACAAAAACATAAAACTAACCTAAAAGGAATAGGAAAACAAATCTCAAACTAACTAGGAAACATAATACTACTTAAATAAGGACTATAACTCGTTTTTATGACCAAAAAAGCTCCTTAGCAGCTAAGTAATCTCCAAACACGTTTTTAATGCTTAAGGAAGCTCCTTACTGGTTAAGCAATCTCTTTCCTTGTCCTTTTCACATTTAAATGACTTGGGCAGCAAGGATGGACGTTTTGGGGTCCAAGAAATGTTGTAGGCTAGATCCTTAATGCATTCTCCATTTTATCCATCAAGAATGCTCCCAGTTGATCCTTAAATCGTTGAATTCGAACCTTCATTTTGGGACCACGAGAATTGAATATTGCGCTAGTCGATATCGCATCATTCCCTCTCTCTTGAAGAAGATTCGACCTCGAATATTTATAGAATCGTGTTCCTTGATGAGCGCCACTCTTCTTGGTCTTCCAACGAAATTGCCTTGGTGAGGATCGTATTATTCCCCCCTTCTTATGAACAATTCATCCACGAATTGTAGAGGCATTACAAAGTGGAAAATTTTCTATGTAGCTCAGAACCTCTCGTCAATTTTCCATGTGGACTTCCTCTTCGATAATTGCATCACCAATCACAAAATCAATATGAGCAACTTCGAGAACTATTGGTGAATGCACCATAATGTCCAAGCATTCATCTCCGCCCTTGCATTCTGATTCCTCAATGTATTGTTTAACTTCTTGCACACTCAAATCCGGAACATCGACAAGAATATCTCCTTTTACTTCTTCTACCTCTTCTTCAACTTTCTCTTCTACTTCAAATTTTGGTTCTTCTGGAGATGAAATCAAAGCTTGTGAATTCTATTCACACGTGACTATAGTAAGACCATCAACAAGAACCACATCCTTATCTTCTTCGACTTCAGCTTCTACCTCAATTTCCTCGCCGTGGATTGAACTTAAAGAAGCATCACTTTTATCAACATCAGTGGATCTTGCACTAGCAGCCTCTTGCTCTTTCTCCTTCTGTGATTCTGGACAGTTGATCGACAATTTCTCTACTTCCAGATTCGCTTGCTCCTCCTCATAGGCTTGTTGTAATTGCCTCCTATATTCACGAACATCAGCTCGAATCATTAACAACTCCATCTCTCGATAGTAATCCTCAACACTCTTGTTGCCTTGTCGAAGAAGTTGTTATGCTTGGTGCATTTCCCGTTGATGATAGGCTGGAACAAATCGATCTCTCATGATTGCCTTCAACTCATCCCATGTTTCAATAGGCCTGCGCCTATCTCTTCTTCTCTTTGTGCTCAATTGATCCCACCACGCTAGGGCATAATCCGTAAACTCAATGGTAGCCATCGCCACCTTCCTCTTCTCTGAGTAGTTTTGATTATAAAAAATCAGCTCCATCTTGCGTTCCCAATCGAGATAAGCTTCTGGATCAATTGTCCCTTTGAAAGATGGTACGGTTATCTTTAATCCTCTTAGATCATCATCATCTCGGTAAGCACCTCCATCATACTCGTATTCTTCATACCCTTCCTCGTCATAGAAGGGGAAGTCTCTCCTTGCACCACGATGCCCTCCCAACGGCCTATGTCGACGAACATTCTCAAACATTGGACGTTGAACAGCTCGAACAACTCTCCTTTCTTCTCGTCGTTCCCTATGGTTAGGGTTTGCAAACTCGCCTTGGGGTGGCTCTTGTTCTCGTTGCTGAGGCTGCTCTTGATCACGTCTTTGCAATGCCTCAACTTGTGCCCTTGTCTCCCTTTGTTCTTGAAGTACCGTAGCTAGTTGTGTAGCGAGTTGCTCAAGTTATGTCGCCACATCTTGTGCTTGTTCTGCCATGGTTTCTTGCTAAAGAAGAACCCCACGAATGCTTTGTCTTCAAGATACCTTCCTTGCCACACAAGAAACTCTCAAGAGCGTTCAAGATTTGCTTTCTTGACGTTCAAGATTTCTAAGAATGCTTCCCGAACTACCAAGAACTCCAAGAATCTTTGTCTTCTCCGCTGCATTTGAACCGGGCTATTGATACCACTTGATATGATCCTAATTCGAGAATCCACCCAAACTTGGGACCAAAAATCAGAATTACGCAACGTCGAACTCTTTTGGGGTTTTCTTCTTTCTTGAATAACACGAAAATAAAGATACTTGCGGAATCGATCAAACAAATCCGAATTCGTGAGAAGTGCCAGAAGGTATATGAAACCTTCCAAACAATCTCGAACCCGTGGAAGAGGCCAACCGATATCGTTGATGCTCGCCACAACTAGACGCGTTCTCTAGTCGATAAGAGACCACTCAAACCTCCCGAATCATCAAAGGAGCGAATAAGCAAAACGTTCACTTGAACTTGTAAACACTTGTATTTGATTTCTGAAACTTGAATATTGTGTACAAAATTCGTAGCTCTTACATCCTCTATTTATAAAGGTCACAAAAACATATAACTAACCTAAAAGGAATAGGAAAACAAATCCCAAACTAACTAGGAAACATAATACAACTTAAATAAGGACTATAACTCGTTTTTATGACCAAAAAAAGCTCCTTATCAGCTAAGTAATCTCCAAACACGTTTTTAATGCTTAAGGAAGCTCCTTAGTGGTTAAGCAATCTCTTTCCTTGTCCTTTTCACATTTGAATGACTTGGGCAGCAAGGATGGACGTTTTGGGGTCCAAGAAATGTTGTAGGCTGGATCCTTAATGCATTCTCCATTTTATCCATCAAGAATGCTCCCAGTTGATCCTTAAATCGTTGAATTCGAACCTTCATTTTGGGACCATGAGAATTGAATATTACGCTAGTCGATATCGCATCAGCTTGGAGTCGAAAGTTGGAGGAAAAGGAGCAAAGACCGGGCAAAGTGGAGGATTCACCCAGAATTCACGGTCCAACATTGGAGTTCACGGTCGTCATCACCGTGAACTGGAACCACACAGCGTCCATAGGGGTTTCTAAGGTTACCGACACCAAGGCAGTTCACGGTCGCTTAGACTGTGAATTGGAACCGCAAACCGTGAACCCCAGAAGTGAAGCGGTGCGTGTTGATCCAGTTAAGTGAGTTCACAGACGCATCCTGGTGTTCACGACCGTGAATTTGGTCCATGTACTGGGAACGATCTCAATAAAATAAAGAGCTGAAAGGAAGAAGAGGGAGAGCCCAAAGTGAGAGAAACTTTCTTCTTCTTGAAACCCTAGAGAGAGAAAGTCACGAACCAAGAGGGAGAAGATGCTAGGGT